TCCTGCCAAACAGCTCAAATGCGGCGGTCGTTATTCCAACGCACGCCACAATCATCGAATTCAGGACAGCTCATGCAACCACAACAACGGCAGCAGAGCTTGCAGCGCTTTGCGCTGCGCTGCGTTTCATTAACGACCAAAGCACGCAACGGTGGACGATTTTCTGCGACTGCAAGGCGGCACTGCAGTCACTTCTGTCAAATCTACGCTGCGGTCCAGACGAGCAGTTGGTATTTAAAACAGCGGGAATGCTACACCATATAACAGAGAAAGGGCACCACGTTATATTTCAGTGGTTGCCAAGCCACTGTGGAATTATCGGTAACGAACGAGCTGATCAAGCTGCCCGTTCCGCCCATAGAGAAGACAACAACCAGTCAATACCTCTCTCAAGGACGGACGCTGCTAGGAGTCTCCGCATGCTCGCTCGCCAACGCTCCATGGCTCTTTGAAATGAGCCTCTCTTTACGCATGCAAGATTACGATCCCTTGATCCAACGTTAAGCATACAGCTTCCAGCAACAATTCGACGAGGCGACACTACTGCTCTGTGCAGACTATGGTTGGGAGTTGCGTTTACCCGTGCGTACGCGTTCCGCATAGGTATGGCCGACACCGCCGACTGTGCACACTGCGGAGATGAAGAAACCATTCGACATATCCTGTGTGACTGCCCGAAATACAACCTGGAAAGACAACAGCTTTCCAATAAACTAAACAGGTTAGATGACCAGCCGCTGTCAGAAGAAAAGTATACTGCGCCCTCGTCATGACTTATCGTCACAGAAGAAAGCCGTGCAAGCGCTACTGGGCTTCTTGCGAACTAGTGGCCTGTCGGAACGCCTCTGAGTGGACTGATTTTGTGTGTGCGTGTGTCGGTGTTTTTCTTTTATTGATTTTTAACTCTCCCTTTCTCTTTCAACCCCCTAATTCCCCAACCCCAGTGTAGGGTAGCATACCGGGTACTAGAATCTGGTTAACCTCCCTGCCTTCCTTTTTCTCGTTTCTCTCTCTCTTGGGCACTGGAATGTCAATTACTTCTAAAATAGTCTAAACTGTGGCGGGTGAAGCACTATCAATTATTTAACGTGCTCTCATATCCTCTAAAACATAGAAACCCGATCCAGTGAAGAACGTGCCGTTCTGTGCTGAACTTGGACAGTTCAAAGCCAAAAGATCAAGCAACACTGTGCATCGGCCTTGGACGCGTGGGCGTCAACGCGGTTGACGCGTGCCAGTGGTTCCGCGCCCTTTTCCTCCACAGGCGCGACTTGACGCTTTTGACGCGTAGTCGCGTGCATACGCGTGCCAGTGGTTGGCACTTAACACGAAACAACGGTGCCAAAAGTATACCTGGAGCGGCCGTGTTCTTTTAAGGCGCGTTTACACTAGATAGTGTTATGACCGTCATCATTATTGAAGTCTATGGGCCTTTTTGAACGGGTCGAAAACAATTAGACGCATTCCAAGCAAGAATGTGCTGTCAAGACTGGTTGATTTCCTGTCAGCAAAACGTGTAACAAGGGGTTCCAGGACTGGTTCGCGCAAAGAAAACGCACTAGCAACGAAAGGCCATTGTGAGCTCGACTCTGTACAAGGCTTTGGAGGCAGCAAACAAGGAGGTAGCTGGGCCACTTTCGAGGTCACCGTGTATCTGGAGAGACCGGAACCAGCATTGTATTTGCGATTTGGGCTGAAAGCTGAAACCCGAACCGGTTGTGGCTGCACCTTGCGAGGAGAAGCGAAGTCCCGAAAATTCGCAGCTAAGCCGCACCTCCTGGCAAACAACGAGGGATTGAATGTGTGGTTGAAAGAAAGGAAAAAGGCACTATCTTCTGCAGCCCTTGCGGGAGCGTGCTTCAGTGCCTCGACGTCGAGAGATTAGTCGACCACTCTTCCTTCCCCCTCTCTCCATATGATCGGCTAAATGGAGGGAATGTTTTGATAATAAGCTGTCAGGCTACTACATTGCCCTATCCGAACGCAGTAAGGCAAGTTTGGCACGTGTACCGGGAGCCGGTTTTTCGAACGTCACCCAAATGCTAGAAGAGTTCTTAGAAACCAGGTCGTCTAGATCATCGGACGTGCGTAAGATCTTGGGGACGTGTGCAAAACGGTGGTGCAGTGCGTGGTAGTGGTTAGAAGATGAGAAAAGGCACCTAATTTCTGCAACCAGGTCGGGAGCATGGCGCAGTGCCTTGTAGTGCGTTCGTGACCATATTTGGGCATCGTTAGACTGTGCCCTCTCCACGTGCATTGTGTGGTGTCTTTTCCCGCCTTCGTAGGTGGAGCAACTAGACCATCGAGCACCGTATTGGCTGAAGCCATGAACAATGCGCCCAGGGTTGCCAACGCGGCGCTATATAAGCGGAAGACTTTTTGTATATTTTCAGTTCTCCTGTGCAGTTCTTCAGACTTCTTGATCACTTGATCACCTCCTTTCGAATTCTCAGTTTTAAACCATGTAAATAAATCGTCGTCGTTCTTACTAGCGCCTCATCTGACTTGTTCGACGATGGGTCCTAGGACGGGGGCCCGCTACCAGAATGAGACACGTGGGACCCGGAGTCGCCACAAAAGACATCACACCAATTTTGGTCTGTCGTTTGTCTTTGGGGGTTTCTTTTGTCTTTTCGTCGTCATATTTACACTACAACGACACAAACAGTCCACCGATGGTCTCTGGAAGACTCCGTTCATGCCTTGTGGTGCTCACAGCCTTTCGTTGACCAGTTCTGTAGTCACAATGGAGGCACACGCAGCGAAAAGCTCATTGGTATCGCTGCACTCTGTCATTACAAGGAGCGGGTGGGTGCAGCGTATGAGGTTTCTACCACAGTATAGACTTCTTTTAAAAGAACGAAGTGTCAATGTTGATAACTTTTAGGTCTTACAACTGGCTCATTTTTATTAATATTCTCTATGCGGGTCTTACATTATCGCAGGAATGCAAACCTAATTACTATATTGAGTGCGCATGCTATCTGCTGTGGCACAGGGTTCCTTAGACTCTCACAGAAGAGTTAGGTAAATAGATTTCTTTGAAAATCCCAGGCATTTTACAACGGCGCTTGAAGCTAACATTATTACGCGCATCAATATAGATTATCACGGTTGAAGAATGATTCGCAACTTAATCCTTAAAATATTACCTCATCTTTGATAGGCCAAATCGCATAGCCCTAAAAAATAAATCCTATAAAGAGTTAATATATAATGAGCAATGATTACAGTTATTGGAAGAAATGCGGAAATCCAACTCAGGTTGTCTTTATAACAGTCATTCAGCATGCCGCCGAAAGCCAGAGTTTGCTGGAAAAAAAAGACCTCGAAACTCCTCTCAAAACTTGGTTGTAAAACAATGTACTTCCGGAACTTCACTATGCTTTATAATGCAGCTTTTAAAGACTGCAAAGGTGCGTCGAGAAATATTGATTTGTTCGCGCACTGAGAGGGAACTTGAAGTTGTTACCGGAGATCCCAAAAGGACCCCAAACCACCTACGATCATTCAAAAAATATATTTCAAGTAAACGCGCACACCGAGTTCGTAATGCCGTCACGCCCAACAGTGCCAAATATGGCAGTGCAACAAGTCATGCAGCTGCTACGAACTGCCGGCGTGCCACAAATTACAAGAAACAATATCTTGTACTCTCTAAGCCTTTCGGTTCACCCAGCGTTGGCCGGGACATCAGCATCGCGTCTGGTCAGGCCTTTCACAGAAATACGATCGAGCTTTGTCATGCTGCAGTCCACAGTCAAGGAAAAGCTGTCGAATATTATCAGGACTGAGCGCACCTCCAGGAAAAACAATACAGTGGAAGCTCCGCTGTTCTTTTGGAAGCGTGAACGACAGAGAACCGACCAATCAGACTATCTCAGTGGTTACATGAGGCTTTATGATTCGTCAGTGGTGCCTCAAATGTAGTGTTCTTGCCCTATTGTGTAAACGAAGCTCTTCTTTCTCGATAGAGCGCATTGGTTAGGAGACAGCATGATATCAATCGTAGGAGCAGTGGATTAATTGGGCGGATGACCAGCCCGTTTACAGACTGATTGTCACCAGAAGTCCTGGCGCTAGTCGCGGGATTGTCTGAAGTGCTCCGTAGATTCAACAGCGTTCTATTGAGGAATATGCGAATACGCTCGCCCTAAACAGCTTACAATGTCATGCTCCACACACCACACTGTGGACAAATCCCGACAAAAACAGTGAACATAGATGGCACTTGTCTGGCACTCCATTTTTCATTAAGTCTTCATACGCTGTTTTCCGCCGTCGAAATAAAATAACTTCCATGTGACGGACGCAATTCACATTTGGCCAAGAAGACGCACACCGAGCAATCGAATGAAGGGTGCACATCTAGATTCTGAATTCTGAAACTTGGTGTCAGTGCTCCTTTAACCAGACAGAAACCAAATTTTTGAACCACTCGCGCCATTCACCATAATAACCATCGGCGTTTTTTTTATGAATTCAACAGAAACGAACAAGCAGCATTTTATTACATCTCTTGATGCACGGAAGGTTCTTTATTTAGTGAAACTAGAACGATTACTAGTGATTAATTGTAGGCGGTTCATGTTACATCATCGGGATTATTTTGAGGATCTCCAACTGCGGCGCATGTATTGTTGTGCATTTACCTTAAATTGTAGGTAAAAAAGACACTTAAGTTGGCAATATTGCCGCTTCAGACGTTGTCATACATTGAGGTTTCACTATGATGCACATTGTTATTTGAATTCCTTTAAGCTGAGGAAGCGCAAAGAATGCCTTCACCGAGAGGTCCTCAGTGAGGAAGCTTTCAGAATGACACATGGAGGCTTCACTGAAATGAAGGCTTCCTTACGGAGGAAAGGAACGTTGTTTGGCCCTAAGTATTCAGTAAACACGTTTTCTCGGGTGTCCTGCGAGCGAGCGACTTTGCGTTGCGAGCTAGTGCCTTCGCACATTGGGGCAAGAGGCCGACAGTGTAGAATCTGTGCACTTACGTTTCACGGTGACTTTGAATGTGCAAGATGCTGTGTTTCCAGCCGCATCACGCGCAGTATAGTTCACGGTACTCGGTGGTCCCCAGGTGAAACGACCAGGTAGCCTGTCGAAGGTGATTGTCACATTTCCTCCGTTATCCTAATCATCAGTAAAGGAGAAAGAAATGCAACTGTAACACTCAAGCACATTTTTTTTCTAGATGGGGATTTTCAGTTCGAATTCGGGCAATACTATGTTGATAAGGGCAACTTACTATTGCTATGGCAAAAAAAAAGCTCTGTATATTCGACCTTAATTAACAGTGATTCTTAAATTCACAGTACTTAACTTGCTTTTTTGAATATACAGTCATAAGTCTATTCAATGAACGCTGGTTTTCGCGATAACCAGTACTCACAACATGCGGCCGTGCCACAAGGCCCAAAGTACGACTCGTTCCAAGGCTTGTAGCTTTTCACCTTCAATCGTTCGTGTACAACTTATTCACGTTGCAGCCTTCGTAAATGGGGAAGGTAACCGGATTGCTCAAGCAGGCGGTACACAGCTTTTTTCGCGCTGTGTTCACCATGAAGATCAATTAAATTGCATAGATTGTGTGTTAACGCGCTTAAGCGAGATAATAAGCCATAAAACGGGGCTGCTCCCTCTTTTATGGAATCGGTATTACAGTGAAGCGTGGCTTCACCTAGGTAGTTGAGCATTTATTGTGAATTGTTTCGCCACAAGGGCATATGAATGAATGATACAGCTACAAATTGCAAATTCACGCGAAGAACGACAACCACCTTCAAAATTGCATCGTGCACCTCAAGCAGAAAGCACCCACAAGATTAGCATACACTAGACGTGCGTGGACGAACGACTGCCACAGCTTGGCACTAGAAATGCGCTGTTCAGCCAGAAAGATAGACACACGAAACGAAGGCACAAGTATACACTGGACAAGCGCGTACAGTCACAATACTTTGTGCGTGAGGAGCGTGCTCCTTTCGTAAACGCGGCCATAGCAGTAAGCGACGTGACCTCCGGGCTCCCCCGAATCACAAACCTGACGAGCACGCGCTGGAGAGACCACGCTCCGTGGAGGTGGCGCATATCGAAACCAAGGAGGTTTAAAAGATCGAAATGCTAAAGGCGACTACATTGAGTGCGCGCCCAGCGCGAAACCATCGTGCGATCTCGCTACGCATGACAAAACAGCGCTGAAGTTACGAAGCTCTGAAGACCGCGAAATGGTATATGGTGTGTATAAATGGCTTGTCGTTAGCATCCCCGACAATGTAGTGTTTCGTGGTCAAGTGCTTAGCGCCGTGCGGCGCTGTGGATTGATAGGTTCGGAACGATTCTATCCCATTATTTTCATTGCAATATCTGTTGGTTTACATTTTACAACGTCATTTTTGTGACTGAAATACGTCAGTGGAGCCGAGGTGGACACCGGCATAAAACACTTTTGTGTTAAAAAAATATCACAAATTTCTGGAGGTAATACTTGCCGTGAAAGTAGGTTTTTCCCACATGATATTCACTTTTCTGGCCGCTGAGGAGAGGATGATATCATCGGGACAGCTCATTATTCTTGGTGGCTCGACATCTGCAACAGCGGAAAAGAAATACTATTGGCGAGGTCCAAAGAAGACTGGATATGGGCTGTGTGAACCGGAAGTGCCCTTCCCTCTGACGCCTCGTTCCCCAGTGTGTGGGCCGACCTTGCGCGGCTCGGGCGCCAAGAACCGCCGTCATTCGGCAACATGAGCTACGACGCCAGTCCTTTTCGTCTAGCGCAAGCAATGCATCACATCATTTCGCCGCTTGCTACAAGGCACGCTAGCACATGTCACTTGCCTACGCTGGTCCCCATTTGCCGGTGGCAGTAACAGCCCCATCTCCATACGAGCTCGTTTCTGTTAACCATTAATTTGCTCGCCGCGAGAGATTTTCGCGCGCCTACAATGAGGGGATTGATGGAGTCACATGCTTCCTTTGCAGGCGACTTCTCAATTGTGTGCTGGCCCCATTTGTAGTAACCATGGCGCCGCTAACAAGTGTGTGTGCTAGATCGGTCTTGCGGAGTTACCCTCTACCACACGCGATCCCTTGATTGTCCGCGCTGTGCTGAGTCTTGGGTTAAAAACTCGAATTCGTTGACGACCTCCCTCGTGGCCGTTTCTGTGCCGTTTCGTAGAGTACTCAAGCCCGTTCGTGGCGTCTTTGTACGCTACGGTGGCAGAGGAGCGTTGTGACTCGTCCCGCTCGTAAGGTAAGCCTTGCGCAAACCTGTCTTCACAAGGTATGTGAACATGGACTTCGAGATCATGCTTGGAGCGCTGTCAGACTAAACGCGCCGCCATATTTTGGGGACCATGGCTTAAACTCGACTTACGTGCTAATTACAGAGGGAATTAATGTTAGCTCCAGTTCAGCGGACGGGTTGGCAAGGCACCTCCAGGCTGCTTTGTTATTGACAGTAAACACTGCGAACGACACACAGTGGTTTCCTCTGGGTGCTGTTTTTCAGTGACCCGCCACATTTACTAACACTGTTGGCAGGGTTATCATTGTCCAGATTAATGTACTAACGACCAGTTTCAGAGTAAGATTGTGCTTCTGCGGCTGGGCCACTTGGGACGTCATTGTCAATTGTTGCTTACAATCGGCTGGCTAGATATTGCTGAAAGTAAATGTTGCATCGAGACTGCTTGGTAAGAACATTTCTAACAGTTTTAGTGGATGAATCATTGCGTATATGCAAATATGAACCTAGGGCTCATGTTTACATTAATTGTTTGTGCTAGAATTCATGTTAGTGATCCTTTTTTGCGTGATGACGAAGTATGTGCAGGTAATATTCTTTAGTCGCAGTTCGTTTGTTTGCCTAAGAAATGACGCAAGCAATTCATCAGATATTCACTCGAGAAGTTCAATAAGTGTTAAGTGCCGTGCACGCAGAGCACATTCAGTTGTCCTGATCACTTTAATTTTGTGATTTAAAGTCGCGTTGGCAGTGACAGGTCACCTGCGAAATGAGGCCCCATGCAACAACTTTACCTGATACCCAACCACGTATTCAAATGCCTTTTTTTTTTGCAATATACTGGTGCCAAAATCAATTTTGGCAGCATCAAACACGTCTTTTTCGTCATATTCAGGCATCACATTCTTTTAACACAAGCGGCTGCCACGTGACCACATATTGATCATGTGGTTCCGAACGAGGGTGCCATAAAGTAGCCACAAAGTAGCCTAATAGTCAGGCCAACCAATTTTTTTTGTCACCACCAACCTGAACTTGAACTTGAACTTTATTTCGCATCTATACATTGTGCAGATAACAGGGACACAGACAAAAAGCCACATTACGGCTTGACGAGGTCTGTGCCCCTTTTCTTTCGCAACAAACAGTTGGCGGGCAAGATTAAAAATGCAATGCAAGAACAGATTCATGTACACACGCGCACAGTATGAAATAGAGATAATTTAAAACACTTGCATCCGAAAACAATGAACAAATTTATATACAAAGTTTGAAACGCGTCGCTATACACCTTCAACACAAAAATACACAAAAATACATAGTAAACATACGAGCATAAGAAGTATTCACTAATGAATATACAAAAGTTCAAAAACGCTTCACCTTGTACTTTTAACATAAAATGCCTGTTCATTTAAAACACAATAGCGAATGAGATGTATGATCGGCACAACCAGATCCTTCGGGAGGGGAAATATGGCAGTTAATGAAGAGAGTTTAGCAAAGATGGTAAGGCATGACGTAGCATTTGTTTTCCATAATTTGTTCTACAATGTGGAACATGCCAGGTTTCTTTGTGACGTGTACTGAACGTGCTTGAATTTAATGTGAGCCTTGACAATTGCTCTAGAAAACCCATGCTATTCTTTCTTTCTATTAAAAACCGTTTTTGCAAAATTGTATCGTACACTGCCTTTAATGGTATGATATTTAACTGGTCAAAAATAGGGTCCGTGTGTGCATCGAATGGAGCATTTAAAATCGTTCGAACGGCTTTCTTTTGCAAAAGGAATAAAATGCTGATGTTTGAGCTGGTTGTGTTGCCCCATACGAGATGACAATAATTGATATGTGATAGAAAAAGAGAATTATAAAGTAAGAGCTTCACTTTCAATGGCAGCAAGAGGCGTAATCTTACTAGTATACCTGTGACTCGAGCAAGCTTATTGGCAATAATGTTGACATGTTCATTCCATAACATGTTTTCCTGAAAAATGACGCCTAAACTTTTGACTGAAGGTACTACTTCTATCCCGGAAGTTCCTATCTGGAGACATCCATGGACTACTTGTTTTTTATTCTTTGGTTGAAAAAGCACGCCTTTTGTTTTAGCAACATTAATAGTTAGCGAGTTTGATAAACTCCATTTGTTTATTAACCTAAAATGATAAAAATGAAACCTAAATGATAAACTCCATTTGCTTATTAACCTAAAAGAAGCAGCCACACTTACACAAAGCACCCAAACCTGGCAACCCTGCAGTCACCCGTGCGTTTTCTTGCAGATACTGCGATAACAATATTTGTCATTAAATGAAAATACTAAAATCAAAAGCTGACTTTTCTAGCAAAACGCTATATAAATGACAAAATGACTTTACTCGTTTCAACATATGAACAGAAAACACGCCCGATACAGCTGCATGGATCCATGCACATTCTTAGATGCAGAAGTATAAAATGCCACGCCTCTCCTTACCTCGTACAGTGACCCTGAAGGTGCAAGGTTTCGATTCCAGTTTTTCGCCGTCCACGGCCACGTATTGGATAACATGTTCTCCTATAGGAGCTTCCCATGGTAATTTCATAGCGTAACCTGGAGATATTAGCTTCACGCTAACGATTCCCGAATTGTCCTGGCGGTGGGTTCTTCCCACGTCACAGGATCCGAGAATGGACTGTGAGGTGCGTTGTTCACTTGTATGTCTCCAGGGCAGTTCATGATCTCGGGTGGTTCCGCGTCTGAAACAAATCACGAAGAAATTTAAGGAGAACGTGGCTGACTTCGCACCAAGTTGGGCCTGGGATTCTTCTAGAATGACAATTTGTCGTAAACCGTCTCAGCAATATCAATCACATTCTGGTGATACCTATAAAAAATTTTACTGCATCTTATCTGATCGCGAATACTCAGGCCTGCTTGTCCCGTCCTTTTCTTTTTTCTGCTTGTTTGTTCGTTTGTTTTACACTGGCTGTAGATCCGTAATATGTATGTAGCACTTGTTGGTTATTCTTCCAAGCATTTGATGTTGACCGAGTGCACAGACATGTAAAATGTTTATAAGTGCCGGAATTCAGAAAAAAAAAAAACTGCGCAGCTTGCACTGTGTCGCGAAGGGCACCTAACGGGAACCTAGCTTGCCCGGGCTTTTACTCTCTCAACTCTCCCTTTCCCTTCCTTACTATACCATACTATTGTCGTTTGTTTATTTCTTTCACTAAGCATTTTTCTCTTTATCATTCTACCATTCTACTTATTTCTTTTCCTTGCTATCTGTCTAGTTGTCATTTCCCCCTCTCTCTCTCTCTCATTATCTACCAGCCACGGTGGCGACTCGACTGCCGACCTCAAAGTCGCGGAATGTGATTCCGGTCCCGTTGGCCACATTTCTTATGGAGGCGAAAATGCTAGAGGCCCACCTACTTAGATATACATCCGTATTTTGATTAGCTTCTTGACTTGACTTCGACCACATCAAGGCAGTACGTTTGAAAGGTGTTTGTCCTGCCTTGGCACACCCTAAAGACAGCGCTTCGGGGATGCGTTTATGTTGCATCGAAGGCAGTGGCAAGTCAAGTCCAAGCCAAAGAGCGTTTCTGAATACAGGGGTTATGCCCACGTTAAAAGTCCCAAGGTGCTCAAATTTTCCGGAGCCCTCCACTGATTCGTCCTTCGTAGTCGTATCTTGGTTCGAGGCCTTAAATCCAAACAATTATTATAAAAGCGAACCCCTTCTCAGTCAGGCAAAATCAATTTAATTATTTATTTATTTATTTATTTACATCTATCTATTTATTTATCTATCTATCCGCCTAGGTGGATCATGGGGCTTTCGTGCGCGGCAGCTGCTTATTCGACGAAAGCTGGAATGTTTGAGGCCAGTGTACTTAGAATTAGGTGCACAATAAAGAAACCTAGATGATCTAAATTCCCGGAGCCTTGCACTACGGTGTCTTTCACAATCATATGCTGGTTTTTCGAACGTTGTACTCCATCAGTTACCTTAAACTACGGGCATTCTGGTTGTCATCCTTTTAACTTGACACGTATCAAAATTTGATTGGTAGGGCAATAATGTATGAAGAAAACGATGAAGAGGTTATTACATCAATGGCTTGATATACTTGTCGCGTACGTCGCGAAATCCTTTCCTTCAGTCACGTGTGGCACATGCGCACATGCCACGGCCCACGAAATTTGGGTATGAGGCGCAAGGGATGCACCGCTTGTATTAAACCAGGAGCGGTGATGACAAAGTTTCGGAAATCATTACGCGACAGCGGTATAAAGCTTGTGTCGCAATAATGCGACGGTGGCATCGGCAGCATTATCAGTGAGGGGAAAATGAGAGGCAATAAAAGATTGGAAATCGCGTTAGAGCCGGAATTGAACTATTCTGCGTGGCAGTCATCTATTCTACCATTGATTCATGCGAGTGCTTGTGGCCATAGAGTTTTCTAAAATATTTAATAGAGAGAATTTTAACACAGCGATCATTCATCCACTGTGGGAATGATCGTCATCACCACCATTTGTTTAATCTTTAAGGCACTTTTCAGCATATTACATAGGGGGGGGGGGGCAAAAGTATCAATAACAGCATTTTATTATAATACAAAAATATATAGACAATCAAGCAGACAAATAAAGAAGGGTTTGAAAAATAGAGTAAACATGTAATTCCAAAACAAAAATATAATGTCAGTGAAATGGGAAGAAAAACGTGCTAAGAATGCTGTCACAAAAGTATGCTACTTGAAATAACAGAGTGCGGGGACAGATTATGAGTTTAAGAAACGCGAAAGGAGGTGGCTAATATATGGTATCCTGCTGATTAACTATATGTTCGGGTAAAGCATTCCGTAGCTCAATGGCAGTCGGTAGGATAGACAGTTGGCATACCACACAGTAAACACATACCTCGGCATGTTATCTTCTGGTTTGCACCTTGCCACTTGCCGTTCTCCAAGCACTTTCTGAAACCATCGACTGCAGTTTTTCTTATTGGGTCGACTAGTCGCCAGCCTTTTTACACGTGTACCTGCGAATAAGCAACAATGTAGGCTAATTACATTATTTCAAGAACGGAGTATCATGCCGCAATATACGTATACAGTTCACATTGGCTTGAAAGTTTACATATAGTAAAATGAGCCGTTCGAGTACGCTGTATAGCTGCTACGCTTGTAATAACTCAGAACATGAAAACGGACTTTCTACGCGTAGGCTAAATCTTGCAACTACAGGTGCAGAAAGGCCCTTTCGGTGGACTGTAAGATGGGGTCGTTCTAAAAGCTTGGCTGCAACGAATTTTCACATTTTCTAAACGGCCTAAAGGAGTGCTCACCAGCAAGTCTGTCGCAAAGAAAAGTGATGGTTACATAAGAGGGGAAAGGTAGGAAGGAGAGGGCATATTAGAGCATATAGTAAGTGGGTGAGAAAGGAAAGGAGGAGAAGGAGAATGCCGTCACTTTCGCAGTTTCCAGTCTTCCCACCCACAGAGTTTCCTAAAATTAACTAGAGGGGACTCTGGCACTGCGATCGTTCAGCGACCAATAGAATGGTGGGTAGAATACGGATTTGCCTGGTCTTCGTACTTGCGGGCGGCGAATAACACTTGTGGCTTCGTTTATAGCTGTGTTTCGGTTTTGGTTTGAAAGAATGAACGAACCCTTTTTAACTTCGTGATCCGGTGTGAAATGGTAAGCCTAAAATAAAAATGTGGTGAAGCGCAACCGCTGAACATTTACTGATTTTTTGTTTCGTGAGAAAACAGTTCGAGTCACACGAGCACAGACGGAGCTAGAAGTACGAAGGTTAGACAAATCCGTGTACTACGCATCATTTCCGCTCGCTGAAGCACCGTGCGTTGTAGCTCCCCAAGACACTTGCGCCAGAACTCTCTCGAGTATATGTTTAGAAAACTCTATGTTCGCACCACCGTGGTGCGTACCTGCACAATTTCTTTTTAGTTACGTTCTTACGTCCTCAACAACTTATTAAATGCGAAACATTTGTCTTGGGGAACCAAAGTTGTATTGAGCGTTTCTTTCGGCGACAACTTTTCTTCACATTGGAGCGAAGAATATATGGAGATGGCGCTTCAGCACATTTGTGTTGACGGTGCTGCTTCGCAAGCAGTACGTAACCTTGCGGCTGATTTTGGTTTCGCTCGATCGCATCGTTAACGGGTATAGCGGGTATGCTGAAAAGGTGGCGCTGTGTAAGAAACGGAAAAGAAGGGAAGGCGTTCTTTCAATGTGAACAATAATGGTATTTTGTCGACGACTTTTTGCCACTGTTTGAGTTTCACAATAAATAAATGAGCATTTACTTCAACGAGACAATTAAGAAACTATCAGTCAACTTAAGTATTATTCTTTAGTGCGGTAGCAAGCATGCACTTTGGTTGTGTAGCTTGCACACTGCTGTCAAGAGAAGTTGTCGCCGTGTATATCTACCCATAACCGCCTACGTTTTAGTGCTCTTACGGTCGCCTCCTCAACTTGGTTTGGAGCGAAATTGAAATTTGGCGTCGTTGTAGTGTAAATAGGACGACGACAAGACAAAATACGCCCCCTGTGACAGTAGGCAGGCTAAAATCGGTGTCATGTCGCTCTAGTGTATGCGCGTCTTGAGCAGATGCGGCGTTTTAAAATAGCACGTCTCCGTTCGTGGCGCTATGCTGGCAACCAAGGGGAAGCGTCACAGTGACGCTGCTGCATGCGCCTACTTTAAGAACACTGTGAGGTGGCGGCATGGCTTCGAGCCACAAAAAAGGACTACACAAGAATAAAAAAACTGGCAGATCCCATATACTGTAGAAATCGATGATATGCGAAGCACGATTGAGGAAGGTTGATATGTCATTTCAAAATCAGCACAACGTTACGATGCGCACGTAAATTATGCCACACATGACTTCAGTACCACGATTACCATTTTTGGACGTGTCAATTACCTTCGTCGTCTATTCAAGTCATTGCAATACCGAATTTCGTATACGCGGAGTAGCGAAATGGCCACGAGCACGCTATTAGCGTAGCATGTCATGTTTTACATGACATGCATATCATGATTATCATCTTTAGATGATAATCATGGTCATGCCATACCATACAGCTTCGCAAAATGTCATGTGAACGAAACCACCGAGAGACCAACAAGGTCATGAAATGTATATCATGACATTCATAACGAGCATGTCATGATTTTTATGTTACGACTAGTCAATTATGCTCTTCATGTAGCCATGTTATGCCATACCAATTTCGGTATCGATACTATTGAGACGGCCAGGAGAACTAAAAGTCCTAGATAGATAGATAGATAGATAGATAGATAGATAGATAGATAGATAGATAGATAGATAGATAGATAGATAGATAGATAGATAGATAGATAGATAGATAGATAGATAGATAGATAGATAGATAGATAGATAGATAGATAGATAGATAGATAGATAGATAGATAGATAGATAGATAGATAGATAGACAGACAGACCGAGAGACAGACAGACAGACAGACAGACAGACAGACAGATAGACAGACAGACGGATAGATAGATAGATAGATAGATAGATAGATAGATAGATAGATAGATAGATAGATAGATAGATAGATAGATAGATAGATAGATAGATAGATAGATAGATAGATAGACAGACAGACAGACAGACAGACAGACAGACAGACAGACAGACAGACAGACAGACAGACAGACAGACAGACAGACAGACAGACAGACAGACAGACAGACAGACAGACAGATAGATAGATAGATAGATAGATAGATAGATAGATAGATAGATAGATAGATAGATAGATAGATAGATAGATAGATAGATAGATAGATAGATAGATAGACAGACAGACAGACAGACAGACAGACAGACAGACAGACAGACAGACAGACAGACAGACAGACAGACAGACAGATAGATAGATAGATAGATAGATAGATAGATAGATAGATAGATAGATAGATAGATAGATAGATAGATAGATAGATAGATAGATAGATAGATAGATAGATAGATAGATAGATAGATAGATAGATAGATAGATAGATAGATAGATAGATAGATAGATAGATAGATAGATAGATAGATAGATAGATAGATAGATAGATAGATAGATAGATAGATACGCTCAAAGTCGCCGAAGTTCGCTAAGAAATGCTTCACATTTATTATGCTAGACGCATAATATTGGAGAGCGAAACACGTCTATAGCATCTCCGGCATCTCCATGGGAAAGCGTTGGGACGCACGTGTGATGCAAATAAGCAGCCCGTCCTTTTATGCGGCGTCGCATCACAACCACTCCCTGAACTAATGCGTACCAAAAGCTCCTGTTGAGGAGCACGCGTTTGCACTGGCATTGATAGAAATGAAGGAGGCATTGTCCTATGACATACACCCTTTCTCTATTTGCAAACAGAGGTGCTAGACGGCTTCCGGTAGTTGTCCACACAGTGCCGTAGTTGTCCGCCACCACCGCTGCCGGTGTCCCTAACCGTTGTCACAAGAAAAAAAATTGCCCGCAGCTTCCCTCGGGGGAACACTGAGGAGGATGCGGAGCCGCTACCTCGGCGCGCTTGCGCTCGCAGGCAGCATCGGGATCGGCCTCTCGTCGCCGACGCTTGCACTCGGCTTCCCGTTTTCGAAAGTCCGGGTCCTCTTGTCGACGCTTACGTTTCAAAGCGGCTGAATCCGGTGCTGCTGCTCGACGCTGACGTCTCTCAGCGGCTTCACGTTCTCTAAGTTGAGCATCTTCCGCTCGACGCCGACGTTTACGTTCGGCGTCGCGAGCTCTTCTCCGCGCTGCCTTGTCTTCGGACGACGACTTGGTTGCGGTTCCGCCAACACTTTGGCCGGCGCTGGTCGAAGGGACGTCGATCATTGCGACCTCGGACGTCGACGCGCCGTACAAACCAACCGACGAGCGGCAACTGAGCGAGCGAGCACCGACCTTGAGTATATATACAGCGCGACGGCGCATGCACTGTCAGCTGCCGAATGTTCGAGAAGGGGGAGAAGCGCAACGGCGCATGCGCGCGCGTCAGCTGCCGATGTTCTCGAAGCGTGACGGCGCATGCGCGCTACATTATACAGCTAGCGAATGTTCGTGAAGAGGAGAAGCGCACGCGGTGTGTAGAGGAGGAAGGGTGCACAGATGGTGGAGGAGTGAAGCGCGCACGGTGTGTAGAGGAGGAAGGGATGCACAGATGGTGGAAGAAGGAGGAGGAAGCTTGCGGACGGCGCCGCACTACAAGCCTCGAGTATTAGATGCTCCGCATCTAATAGGTGAAAAAGTTGGCACATCCCACGTACAGTGGGAATTGATCGCTTGCGAAGCACGAATGAGAAATGTTGATATGTCAGTGTAAGATCCACACAACGTTATAAGGTGGAGGTGAATTATGTTGTACATGAGTTCGGTGTCATGATTATCATGTTTGGATGTGTCGTTTACCTTCGTCATCTATTCACGTCACGTGATACCAAATATAGTATATGTGGAGCTAGCGAAACGGCCGCGAGCACGCTATGAGCATGGTATGTTGTCATTTTCTTACATGACACGCGTATCAGAATTATCATGTTTGCGCCAGTCATATATTTCTTCATCCAATGACGTCACACTAAATTTGGTATATGTGGAGCTAGCGAAACGGCCGCGAGCACGCTATGAGCATGGTATGTTGTCATTTTCTTACATGACACGCGTATCAGAATTATCATGTTTGCGCCAGTCATATATTTCTTCATCCAATGACGTCACACTAAATTTGGTATATGTGGAGCTAGCGAAACGGCCGCGAGCACGCTATGAGCATGGTATGTTGTCATTTTCTTACATGACACGCGTATCAGAATTATCATGTTTGCGCCAGTCATATATTTCTTCATCCAATGACGTCACACTAAATTTGGTATATGTGGAGCTAGCGAAACGGCCGCGAGCACGCTATGAGCATGGTATGTTGTCATTTTCTTACATGACACGCGTATCAGAATTATCATGTTTGCGCC